AGGGGTGCGGGGGGCCGCCTCCGCCCCGGAGCCCGGCGCCGCGCGCGGGTGACCTTGGGACCGCCTCCGCCCCCGCTTCCACCTCCGCGGGCTGGTCGCCCCTGGCGTCCGCCGCCCCAGGCCGGGGACATTACAGCCTTCCCCGCTGTCTAGAGGCCCGTGATTGCGCCTCTCCATTTCCACACCGGGACTGGCGGACTCCACTACTCCGCAAACCGGTCGCCAAGTCCCCCCACCCTGCACGGCCAGCCCGCCAGTACAGGAACTTAGGAGTGTCCAGCCACGCACACCTGGCCCTGGGCTGGGCCTGCCTCGTCTCAGCCTGCTGGGGCCCCGGTCTGCAGAGGGTGCCCACGGAGGGCCGCTCCGGGTGGGGGGTGGGGTAGGGGGTTCCTGGGCCTGCGGGCTCGGGGCAAGGGGAGGGGGCTCGGAGAGGTCTGAAGAGGCCGGATGGTAACCCTGCAATTCGGGATCCACAGCCCAGAGTGGTCTTGTGAATCCAGGGCCACAAAAGGCCTGCCCTCTCCCCCAGATAACTCAGACCCCATGCCTCCTCTCAGGACTTGAGGGGAAAATTCCAGGTCTCTGCAGCAAGGGTCTTCCCAGGACCTGCCCTAGAATCAGGCTGCAGCTTCATGGTCTCTCAGTCCAAGCACAATGGAGCTGCAGAGTGCCTTCCCGGGGCCTGCAGCTGGACTGCTTCACCCCAGCACTTCTGCATGCCTGGCAGGCTGGGGGCTGAGCTGCTCCCTGCCCAGTGCTCTCCCAACAGGAGCCCTGACCCAGCAGGTGTGTGTGCGTGCACACACACTTCCCCCCCCCCCCCCGCACACACACAGACCCTGGGGGTGCCACCTCTGCGCAACACCTGGGTTTGCAAAAGACCAGCCTCGGCCGCTTCCTCACCGTGTCACCTCGGGAAATTCCCTATCCTCACTGCTAGTTTCCTGAGCTCTAAAATGGGGAGGATGAAGTGGGCACACGCCCCTGAGGCACCCAGCACAGTGCCTGCATGTATGTGGGAGCATCTCCAGGAATGTTTAGGATCTCCAGCTGCAGGGATCTGAGAGCCCCAGGCTGGTTCTGTTGCATCGGAGATGTTACACAATCCCGGGTCTGAGCTTCAGGCCCCCGGGGAGCAGGGATATATTCTGGGCTGGGCCAGAAGCCGGGCCGTGGGCCTTGCTCTTTTGATTCTCTTTTCTCAGGGAAGGACCTGCCCCCTTTTTGCGGAGGAGAAAAACTGGGACCTGAGGGGGCTAGCCGAGTTCACAGTGGCAGCAAGGCAGAGTTTCAAGGCCCGGAAGCCAGCCATAGGCTCTGCGGGGTGCATCGGGGTGCATCAGGGCGCATCGGGGCTCTGTGGCCCCCGGGGAAGTGCCCCCACCCCAGTGCTCCAGCCGACCTGCTCTAGCTCTAGAGTTCAGGGAGAAGAGAGCACATTCCTCTCACAGGCACCGTGGCCTGAGCTCAAAGAGCCCAGCATTGGGGAGCTCAAAGCTCTTCCATGTCAGGGGTTTCCATAAAATAAATGCAGGAGTAGCCATGAGTCCCAGAGGGGCACGGGGTGCAGCAAAGTCAAAGCCTGGTAAGCCTCCACCAGAGACCCCTCCTCCTCTTCCTTCCTCTGCACTAACCACAGACCGGAACCAGGACCAGGACAATGGCAGGAATGCAGAGGGAGTGCAGGGGTCCTGGAGAGTCCCGGAGCTCCCAGGGGTACCCCAGGTCCAGCCTGGTCCTCCCCACACCGTGGGCCAGAGGTTTATCAGGGCCTCGCTGGGGTGCCCTGGCACACCCCAACTCTCTCCCTCCATCCCCCAGCACCATGCAGGACAGGGGCACGGAGCGCTAAGCCCTGGCCGACCCTGGCCCCTGCCACTGCCCTGGGTCCCCCCTCCCACCAGGAGTGCCCTGTCCTCATGACCGGAGCCGCATATGGGGCTGCCGCCCCGCATGCGCAAGCCGCTGACCAGACGCTGAGCCAGCCAGCACGGCACAGGCCAGGAGATGCCCAACACCGCCCGCTCTGAGAAAGAGTCCTACAGGCCACTCCTGTCTGCAGCCGGGCAGCCCTCTCTCAAGCTGACTGCTTGTCCAGGACATCAGCCCTGGAGCTGCTCTTAAGAGCAGGAGTCCATGGCCAGCCAGTCCTGGGTTCAAATCACAGCTGGGCTTCTCCTCGTTCAGTCGCGGACTCTGCCTCTGCTCCCCTCCTCTGAGCGAAGTGGGGGGTGGGGGCATGCGGAACCCAGCTCTCCTGCCTGGGAGGACAGGCGGGGCCAGCACCCTGAGGCCGGGGGTGAGGGGAGCCGAGCTGGCTGGGGCCGGCAGCCTGGCAGGTTTCCAGGCAGCGCTGGCGGGTCTGCAGGGCGCCAGGCTGAGAGCTGCACACCACCCCCTGGGAGAACGCCAGTCCAGGCTGCTGGCTGGCCCTGCAGGGCTCCTGAGGAGGAGGGGATGGGCGGGGGGTTGCTGCCCACTTTGCCTGCCCTGCAGCCTCAGGCCACAAAGGGCACAAAGGGCCTCCAGCCCTGGTCCAGAGAACCGGCAGGTCGGGCTGGGAGGTGCCTGGGCCTGCACCGAGGGGGCGGGGGCTCGTCGTGACCCTGCAGGACTGCCGTGCGGGCGCCCTCCGCCCCACCTGTCCCTGATGCCAGCGTCTCCCCGGCTCCTGTGGGCAGCTGTGGCCAGTGTCAGGGAAGCATGCTCAGGCTCCTGACATGCAGCACAGGGACCAGGACCCTCTCGTTGCTCCCTCCCACACCGCAGTGACAATGGCTTCCTGTGCATTTTATCCCTGAAGCTTGGCAACAGCCCTCACCGCCACTGTGTAGATATAGCAACTGAGGCTCAGAGAGGGGGTGCTCTTGCCCAAGGCCACACAGCAAGACAGCAGCAGGGCCAGCAGATAAGCACCCGTCCTTATCTGTCTATCTGTCTGACGTCTGCTTCCGACATACAACCTCTGAACCACTGGATTGTGAAGAACACATCTGAAAGGGACCCTCAAGGATAACCCGAGACCCAAAGCAGAGAGAGGTGACCTGTCTGAGCGCCCCTCCCCCGCCCCAGGCCAGGAAAAGAACTCAGTCCATGCAGGACGCTCAGGTTGTTCGCCACGCCTCCCGTGCCACGCTGGACATCAGCCAAGGACTTGACCTGCAGCCAGACAGGTGGACGGGTGGTCCCTGACCCGAGCACCCTCGTCGGCCTCTTAGGCACCCCCTGACCTGGGAAAGGCCAGGGAATTCTCAGTTCTTCTTTCAGCAAAACCTCTAGGGTACATCCTCTTATACCCCAACATCTGGAAGTTCTTCCCACATCTGACCGAAATCCTTCCTGCTCTAGGGACACCTGTCCCCGTCTCTGCAGCGCAGGCAGGCCATTCCCTCCTCCTGCCCGCAGCAAAAGCACTGGGAGACCATTTGCTGCCTCTTGTCTGAGCCTCTGAAACTTGGAATATCTGGGTCATGGAGCCAACCCCCCACCTCCCTGAGCCCAGGCCTGAGGAATCTGGGTCAGTGACACCTGTTCCGCCTCCCCTCACTAGGTCCAGGGCGGGAGACCCTCACTAGGCCCAGGGCGGGAGAAGGAACTGGCTCGGCGACCCCTCCTCCCAGGACCAGGAGGGCAGGGGGACCCAGGGGTTAGAGAGGGAGCCCCGCCCTGCTGGAGTTGAGGGGAGGTTTTGGGGGCCCCTGGGCCCCTCAGATCAGGGCTCCCATAAAAGGGCCATGTCTCCCCCATCAGACCAGGGCTCTCAGGACAGAACCATGCCTCCCCCATCACACGACCTGACCTGCTGGGAGGCCACCATTGCTACAGCCGGCTCCCGGGCTCCCCCAGTGAGGCCGTCCCTGACCCACAGCCTCCATCTTTGGGGTCCTTCTCCCACCGCACATTCTGCTCTGCTCCTCTGGGAGGGCGGGACCAGGCCCAGGCTGCTCGCCTTGCTGCCGGCACACCAGTGAGGGCACCAGCGCAGACTGGGCAGCCAGCCCCTCTGCCCCTCTAAACTTCCACAGCCCCCGGGAACCTCGCCGCCTCCTCCCTCGCTCCTCCCACACCTACAGCCGACCCGTGAGCCGCTCCGACTGGCCTCCTTGCAGAAGGTCCCAAGAGTCTGACTGCTGCTCACCCGTCTGGCACTACCCTGCTGGGAGCCCCGCCAAATCTGCTGCGCCCCCTGGCCTCCACCTGTCCTCCCCACAGTGCCAGGAAACGTGTTAGGCATGTTATCCTCTGCTCAAACCTCCCACGCGCCCACCCCTCACTGAGAGACCCCCAGGCCCCAGGGGCCCGTCCAGCCTCCCTGACCTGACCTCACCGCTCTGCCCCTCAAGGGCTCCCCTTTGGCCACGTTCAGGCTGCGGACCCCAGCTCCCAGTACAAACGCCCACCTCATCTCACACTTAGCACTCCGTGTGGGGCCGCTGCCTGTGCCCAAGTCCCAGGCGAGAGCAGCCCAGAGAAGACAAGCTGGCAGCCATCAGCAGCAGGCCTGGTCCCCAACCTGGCTCAGGCAGCGCCACCAAGGCACCTCCCTGGGGCCCAGGGTGGGTGGGAGCCAAGGAGCATCGGAGACCCTGGGAGGAGGCTCAGCCCGTGGCACCCCTGCCCCCCTGCCACCTGCCAGTGCCCAGCCCAAGAAAGGGGAGCTGTTCCCACTTCGGGCAGATTCTGTCCCAGCCACTTGGCGCTGAGCTGCCTCCCCTGTGAAGTGG